ACACACACACACACACACACACACACACACACACACACACACGGACACCTGAAGCTGACAATGCTGTGGTTTCTGCTGCGGCTGTTGGTGACAGATAAGGAGCAGCTTTTTGTACTCGAAAGACCGAAATCAAGCATCAACCTATCGATTTGTATTACATCTAATACACCAAAGAATAATTTACCATGATTAGTTGGTTTCTTTGGAAAAAATGAAAATGGAAGAAAAATTCCCACTTAAAGAGCAACTAATTGCTCTTTAAGTGGGAAGCGGAAACAATAAGTTGGATATAAAAAGGGGAGTTCATTGGGAAATGTTAATTGTCTTTAACATTAGCACAGGCCTTATTAAACGTTCGGTTTAATAAGTTAAAACAGTAGCACGTCAACAACAAGCCTAACCTTAAGTCACCATTTTTCCAGGTTAAACTTAACAGTATACGCTGGATACATTACTGTGGGGATACGTGTCCTGCTTTTGTTCTCAAAGTGGAAGGACGAGAGACAAAAACTCACCTTTTTGAAATAATTTTTGTCTCCGCCGCCGTCGTTGATGCCATTTGGTAAAAGAGCGTCCGTCATCCTGAAGGCACGCACTCCGAGAACCTCAAGAGGAGAAAAAAATGTTTTCTTTTTTTCTTTTTTTAATTAACAGCTTTTAACAACAGGTGAGAACCTCTCTACACCACCAATATGCCTGCTGTTCTAACTTCTCTTCACTCAGTCAGAGATTTTTCCAGTAGGAAACCAGAAGCTCCGCCCACACAAACTGAATGGGTGGTGCTTTCACGGCCCAAAAGAAGCTCAGCGGAAGACACCTGTTTAGTTCAGGCTCTGCGGAGTGCATTATGTGAGACGGCTAGATATAAGATGAAATGCTGTTATGCAAGCGTGTAATAGTGAAAAGAAAAACAAGAAAACATATCGGTCTTTTAACTCTTGTATCGATCTCAAAGTCATATTTATATTCTATTAATACCTGTGCCACCCTCATCTAAATTTCCCAGATCTGTCTGACCAAAGAAAATCAAATGTTGAGCTAATACAAAAGTATTACATTAACACATTAAGTATTAAAGTACTGTAACACTGTAAAATACTAGCAGTAGTAGTTCAACATAACAGTCGTTCGTTTTTCAGTTTCTATTTTTATTCTAAGCAAATGGTTTGCAGAGTGACAGTTATCTATGTAAAACTATGCAAAATAGTTCCTTCAACATAAACCAATACGGAAATGTGACTTTGACAACAGATCTGTTGTTCAAAATGTCCTACACACCAACACCGGACAAGGATATAATAATGTGTGAGAAAACACGTAAACAAAAAAACTAACAAACCTGAACCCCTGCGTACTACAGTGAGGACATCCCATGGTTATGCTATGTTTTGTTGAGCCATATGAGTTATTTATCCTCATAGAGGGAATGATTACTAAAAATTACAAAGCTGCTGTCATTCATGAGCTTCATTCTAGAATAAAACTTTTTTTTTCTTTTTTTCTTTTTCTTTTTTAAACGGAACATGAGATGATGTGGCTAACAGCCTACTAGGCCACCTGGTGGTGTTGTTTCATTTTATTTTTCCACATGCTGATACAGGCTGTATATCTTTAAGTCTAAGATGTAATACTTGGAAGAAATCAGTGTCTGACACATATTTCATTACATCACTATTATCACATGAATGATTGCCACAGTTGTGTCTCTTTCTTTAAGATTCTTTCTTTGAAAGAGAAAAATGTTACCCCTGGGCTTTTCTGTTTTAGAATTCCCGAACTGTATGAATTTGAATATGCAATACAACGCCATATTATATCACAGCTTTCAAAAGTATATTACTTGAAGTTTATCTGTTTTTTAAATGATAAAATAAAATAGTGAATGCAGTTTCCTTTACTGACATGTAGGCTGGAAGAAAGGGGGCACTCAGGGAAACAAGATGATGTGAAATACAAAAACAGACATTACAATAAGTAGTGTGTGATTATGTGTGTGTCCTAAAACTCAGTCCCTGTGTTAACTTTAATTTTTGCCTGTGTCTTGTTTAAAGTTACCTCAGCAGGATTTGTTGTAGTGTTGCTGTCAGTAGCTGTCAGATGGCACATGTATGCAATACTAACAGAAGCCAGGGGCTTGTTTTACCAGTTCTGCATCTGAAACCCAGCCAACAGCTTACAAGGAACTTTCTATTTATATTTAACTGCAGACAGATTTTATAGTTAATGGATTTGTATGAAGACAAACCAGACATTTGTATTGATGTTGGCTTGCATGAATTTACTCCAAGCTATTGTTACTGTGTATTTGTTATTGTTTGTTTTTGTGTAGTTTACTTTCTCTAAATCCTCTGAAAGAAACCAGCACCCCACAGTTTCTTATGTTGTAAACATTTGTTGTTTCCAGCTTTGTTCATATGTAACAATTCCTTGTTCTGTAATTGTTGTTAGTGGTGATTGTTGCACTTTACAGCCCTGTGATAGATCTGTCCAGAGTACCTATGATAAGTCTGATAGCCTCCAGTCCAACTGTGGCCCTGACCTGGATAAGAGAAAGAGAATGGATGGATGGATGGATGGATGGATGGGAGGAAATTAAAGGGTGGATGGGTCTTGTACCTAAGAATACAGTCCACTAGATGGAGATATTGTTTTTTATTTAATCAACAACTATGTCTATTTTATGCAATATGTTTTTTTAATCTTATAGTTTTCCGTAGTTGTTTATACGCCATGGTGTTTGTTCTGAGTCATGAGGTTATCTCAGTTTCTCAGGGATTTTCCCCACGGGGACCAATAAAGTACACTTTCTTCTTCTTCTTCTTCTTTACTATATTATCAATACATACATTAGAAAAACTTTGAGAAAAATGACTTTAAGGTGCTTTTCCAAATATCTTTTTATTTAGTTATTAAATTTTTTTTATCTATTTTTATATTTTCTGTCTCATTTTTCTTTATGTTTTGTTTTTTGTTTGTTGTTGTTGTTGTTGTTTTCAGGCTGTTACTATGACTCTGAAGGAGCACTGCTTCATTTCAAACAACTCAGCAAAAACAGGTGTGGCAGGTGTGACTAACAACAAGGACTTGTAACGGTCATATTTCACTAAACACATATCCAAAGGTTATCATTAACTGCCAAGTGTCTCTTGTTGCAAAGCGAAATGAAAAAGTCAGGGAAAATGTAGCTAAAATATTTTTAAACGACGTAAAGGGGTTTTGACCACCAGAAAATTTTTAATAAGCGAGCTCTGTTTTGTTTCTAAATTATCTCTAAGGGGATGCAGAGTTATGGGTTTGTAGATGTCAATCCATAATTTTACTGGCTAAATACCAACATCAAATTTGGAGCACATGTGGGCACTTATTGGGGCGTGGTCTTTGTGGGCAGCTCTTTGGGGCCCCTGTAGGAGTTTTTTTCTTATGGGCAATATTGATGTGAAATGTGGGGCCCATTTGTGCAACCTGGGTGGAGCCCCATCTAGCTGTGGGCTGCCCACAGACCCAGGTTCATGGGTCTCACTTTGGGTATCTGCTTAGTGTGGGCTGCCCACAGTCAGCATACACTATGGGCTGCCCCGTTTGAGACTGTGTGGGTTTGTCCACAGTGGCCTCATACGGGCCCCAAAGTAACATGTTTGCAGGGTTGCAACATGAAGCATGTGCTAGATAATTCTACATGTATTACATAAATAATACTGACTGGAATTATTTTACAAATATTACACTTTTTTACTGCTATAATTATTTACAGTGATATTGCTTAATAGAAAATACCCTTATTAGCAAAGAAGTGACACTTTTGAGAGTAAGACAAAGTAAATACATAAAAATGTGGCTATCTGCACTTATTACATTTCTAGTCAGAAATGTTGTCTTCTTAAGTTACATAGTTAACAGTGTTTGGTGCTGTCTTGCTGACACATTTGTCCACTGTGTCACTAGTTTCTATCAGTATTTCAAGTAAATAGCTTGAGCTGCTTATGTGAGTTGACCCACATAAGCAGCTGAGTTGTATTTGCTTTTGAACCACTTAAAGCCTTTTGGCTGTAATCACAGAAGTCTGCAGAGTGGTAAAAAACAGAGCTGCATTTTTCACTCACAACATTTTTTTACTGCTGAAAATGGACAATCCAACACTGTCACACAATCTTAAATGTATTGCATTACATTACTTAGCTCTGAGCACCATCTCTCTGAAAATCTTAATGTCAGCCCTCAGAAATGTATATTATCATATAGAGGGTCCCTTGTTTGATTTAGCTTGCAGTGAACTGAGGGTGCTTTGCCTTTCCGCTCATTTCTCTTCTCCTCACTATGAAGCACAAAGCCGATTGTAAGTCAACTACTTCCCGGCTGCTTTTCTAAAGGCAGAGGGGGTACGGCAGTGAACAACGGGCACCGGCGTTCAACCCCCGGCCCAACAGGAAGTGCTGAGGGGTTGCTATGCAGCCCTGCTCCCCAACTGCAAGAACTCTGGGTTCCCTGTTAACAAATGATCTGTGATTTGGGCAGTATGGCGAACTATTGGAGCAGGCACTCCAGAAGCTCTACAGTAAGAATAGATCAAGGCTTGGATGAAAGAAAGAATGAGGGAGAGTGATAGTTTGTCCTCGGCACTAAAGTGTTGTTGGGTCTGTGGCCTCTTCTCCTCCTTTTTTCCTCTGGTGCCTCCTGCTTCATCCCTCTTGTTTTGTTTCTCTCCACTTCTCCTCCCTCTCTACCTGTCTCCTCCCTCTGCATCTCTGTCCTTGGTTTATCCTCTACTTGTAGTTTACTAGCCTTACTATTACATTCAAATCTTGTACAAGAGTTGAGTCAATACATTACAAATATTGACATCCATCCATGCAATACATCACAGGGCTCTGACATGACATGCCAAAACGTAAGTAAAATTAACCTTCCTAAAACATAATATTTAGCTTCAGAATGAATGTTAAAACAGATTCAGGACTTGTTAGAAGAAGTGAAGTTTCAAAAGTTACACCAAATCAGCTAAAGATCATGAAGCCAGAGGACAACCAAGTACAAAAAGTAAAATAAATAAATAAAGCAAAATAAAAATACATGTGTATTATTTTCACTCCCAATGCACTGCACTCTATGTACATATAGAAAGAAAATCTTGGTGTATTTTTACTGTGTATATTAATCATGTGTACATAGTATAGTATTTTGGGTTAGCTCTAGTTTTTCTAATATATCTTTTTCTAATATAATTCCCGTTTTCTTCCTGTCCCTTGTGCTGCTGTAACAAGTGAATTTCCCCAGAGTTGGATTAAATAAAATCGATGTGTGTCTAAATGTTTGTTTTTGGAATGAACATTTCATTGTAATCCAACTGAAGACAGTTGACAAAAATAAAAATTTTTAAAATTAATCCTTTATTTTTCCAGGTAAAAATCTCATTTCCAAAAGAGACCTGGCATCAGGGCAGCTAAAGTCAAAACACATACAACACATAACAACATAGCAATTAAAAACAAACACAACATTTCATACAAACAAGTGAAAAATATAATTTACATTCAGAGTGGGGACTACCGATTAAAGTAGGTGATAGGTGGAATGCTACATGCAGTACTTGTACTAGTCTGCCTGCAGGAATGTGACACTGAGGTCATATTAGTCACTACTGAGGAAACTAAACCATATCTTGATGTACACTCTAAAACCCAGTTAAGGAAATCCAAAAAAGTTGATTCTTTTTATCTGCATGTAGC